CAACTCATCTAATGTTTCATTGCCACTAGTCCATCCTTCAGTTAATAACTTTGGATCACATGATTGACACCATGCCTTATTAGTATTATATCTATTGCAAGTTGGACACTCCCCATATTTTTCTTTTCTTTCATCAGAATATTGATCTTCATAATCTTGAAAATTTCTATCTTTCATGTATTTCATTACAAAGATATATTCTTTTGTAGCTGGATCTTGTGTTAATCCATAAATTTTATTTATAAATGATTCACCATGAAATGTAACATAATTTCTAAACTATATAAAAAATATATATTAAATTTCAGAATAATATTTAAAAACCTGAAATTAATAGAAAAATAAAATAATTTACCTCATTAAGAAATTCATCAAAAATATTCTGTGAATTATGTAGTTTTTTAATGCCACAGTCCTCCTATCTTTACTATATATCTTATTTCTATAAGTATATTTCTCACCATTTAACCAAGTAGCTTTGGATATAGTTGCAAAACCACCTTCATCTATCTTTTCAATATTTGTTAAATCATTATAAGGAATCCATTGAAGATAATAATCATTACTATATCCTATTGCTTTAAGTTGTGTACCTTTAATCAATTCATCTAATGTTTCATTGCCACTAGTCCATCCTTTAGTTAATAACTTTGGATCACATGATTGACACCATGAATAATCAGTATTATATCTATTGCATGTTGGACATTCCCCATAATCTTCATATCTTTTTTTTGAATATTCATTGTTTTGAAGACTTCCATCTTCCATGTGATGCATTACAGAGATATATTCTTTTGTGATTGGATCTTGCGTTAATCCATAAATATAAACTTTATCATAAAACTTTTGTACAATTTTCAAGCTAAAATAACAAAATAAAATATTTATTTACAACAATAATATTTAAAAAAACTGAAATAAATAGAAAATTTACCTCATTAAGAAATTCATCAGAAATATTCTGTGAATTATGTAGTTTTTTTAATGCCACAGGCATATCTTTACTAGTTCTCTCCTTATCATCATTTACAGTTTTATAACCATTTAACCAAGCAGCTTTGGACATAGTTGCAAACCCACATTCACCTATATTTTCAATATTTGTTAAATCATTATAAGGAATCCATTGAAGATGATTACTATAATGATAATATGTTGCTTTAAGTTGTGTACTTTTAATCAACTCATCTAATGTTTCATTGCCACTAGTCCATCCTTCAGTTAATAACTTTGGATCACATGATTGACACCATGAATAATAAGTATTATATCTATTGCATGTTGGTCATTTCCCATATTCTTCATCTCTTTCATCAGAATAATCATCAATTTTGTCAGTAGAAGTATTGTCATGATGTTTATTTCCATCCAAAATGTTTTCCATTGTGGTTTTTGTATATTTTTGTAAAAAAAAATTTTTTTTAAAAGAACTTTTTTTTTCAACCACAAATATGTATCACAAAAAATATATTAATTATATTTAGATTTATCTAAAAAAATAAAATTTTACCTGAACTACTACAACAATTCAGCATTGATGCCCTAAAGTTGTAAAACTGTAATAAATATTGCAAGCATGCAATCAGAGTTATTGGAATCAATATATACAACTATACTGCTTGATTAGGGTTTCTATTTGAATAAGAGTTTATTCAAATTATTTGTTTTACTTGTTATGAACCTGAGTATTTGAATTACATTGGAATAAAATGAATAATTAATAATTCAATAATTTGATAATTCAAAAGACAAATAAACGAATAATTCAAATAAAACAAATAAACAAATAAAACAAATAATTCAATTGATAATTTAAATAAAATAAATAAACAAATAATAATAATTCGAAGAATTCGAATAAAATGAATAATTCAAATAAAACAATAATTCGAATATTTCAAACAAAACAAATAAATCAAGTAAAGCAAATGATCTCAATTTAATAATAAATGAATGATAACAATTCAAATAATAAAAGAATGATACAATTCAAATAATAATATAAATGAATGATACAATTCGAATAATAATTGAATGATAATAATTTGAATAATAAACAAATGATGTCAATTTGAATAATAAACAAATGATGTCAATTCAAATAATAAACAAATGATGATAATTCAAATAATAACAATAAATGAATGATGTCAATTTGAATGATAAATTCGAATAATAATGATAAATGAATGATGTCAATTCTCCATTTGATGGTTACAATGGTAATCTGATACTTCATGACCAAATTATACAATTTTTTTTCCATGATAGAATGTTTGCATGGATTGCATTAAGTGAGATGTTCTTTTTTTCATGTGGGTAAAGTTGTGCATGTGGATCATTCCATGGTTTTGAAATTTGTCATGTTTGAAGAAATGCCCTAATTCACCATCTCAGAGTCCTTCCACAACTTGTTCCAGCATATTTTGGTAGAGCAGGTAGATGTGTTTACACACTTATTTCTTTTTAAAAAAGGGACAAATTCGAAGGCAAGGTTGTGGTTTTTGATAGATGTTTGCATTTTTGGTGGCCAGTATCTGGTTCTAATTTTGAAAATTTCTTCTTTTCTCAAGCATCAATGTGGATAGTATCAATACAAGAAGAACCTAGCTATCTATTGAGGGTAGTATTTTTTAATATTGTGAGATTGTAAACCGTGGACCAACCGATTGACCGTTAATATTGACCAATTAGAACGAACTTACTACGGAAGTCATGTGATGCGCTGAATATTACATCACGATTAACAATCATCTTTCTATATTTATTGCAACGGTTGCACGTCATGTTACACGTGTAGATCATTACATCATTTCTATTTTTAACTTATTTTATGACATAATTATTTACTTCGAATTATTAATCAAATTATTTGTAATAGTGACTCATAGGATTAGTCATTATTAGTCATAGCTAAGGTTGCTTGCCAAACCTCATCCAGAAATCAATCAGCAGGGTTTCAGCAGGTTACACATTAATTGTTTATCAGAGTTTCGGCAGAGTTTTGCATTTTGAGGTTTCGCCTTTTGGCATAGTTTCAACAGGATTTTTGATAAGATTTAATATAGGTTTCAGCAATTACTAAGGAGGTTTCGCCCACAACCTTAGTCATAGCGTTAGTAATTAGCAATTAGTAAGCTAGTAATACAGAAAATAGGATTAATAAGCTTATTTTATTGGATAAATATTGTAAAGGTCATGTTATTTGTAATACCTCAAGAGGTATAAAAAGGCTTGGTTTTAGACCAGCATAGTGGAAATTTGAAATGGCACACTAATTTTTTATATTGTGCAATGTAGCTTTATAATACACGGCAAACATTCTGGCAATAAAAAGTAAGTGATAA